GTACATTTTTTCTTTTGTGTTGTGGAATGCTTTCATGGCCAGAATCACTGGGCTGCTGTGAGTTTTCCCGGGCTGTATGGCCATGTTCCAGAAGCATTCCCACCTGACCTTGCGTTTTGCCTTCAGGATTGCACTGAATTGAAAGACGGGAAGAATTTAGCAAGCCAGAATTCCTCAAATTCGTCGCCAAGATTGAATAATTCTTGATTTTGTTACTATTTTTTTAAAGAGGAATATCCAAGGAATTGAGAGTTCCTGATAAGAATTCAAGCAAATAGATTCACCAGCAGTATTTACAAAGACTTTGTCTGGTCTTAACGGCCATCCATGCAGTCATGCCGACCACATGACCTTGGAGATGTCTATGGACAACGCCGGCTCTTCGGCTTAGGGAAGGAGATGAGCACAAACCCCAAAGCCGGACACGACTGGACATAATGTCAGGGGAACACCTTACCTTTACCTACACTGCCATATAATCAATCCGGATTATCTGTTTTGAACCGGATTATATTGATCCGGATTATTTATTTATTTATTTTATAAGCCGTCCTTCTCATCCCGAAGGGGACTCAGAGCAGCTTACATGCAATATATTCTATTATTAGCATTGTACAATATCAGTATTAAATATTACTATATTGTACTATACCATTATATTGTAATATTAGTAATATTATCTGTTATACTATCTGTTTTAAACCGAATTATAGTAATCCGGAGTATCTGTGTTAAGTCGGATTATGATTTAACTGGAGTATCTGTTTTGAACCGGATTGTATTACTCCGGATTATCTGTTTTCTGAGACTACATGCCATATAATCCAGTTCGAAGCAGATATTCTGGATTGTATATGACAATGTAACCCTTCAAACGAGTTTCGGGGAGAACTACTTGAAAATTGTTTAATTTTTGGGTTGTTGTAGGTTTTTTCGGGTGTTTTTAAACACCTTCTTGGAGAAATCAATGGGTTGTTCATGAAAGATGCCTTCCTTCTTTGGAATCATGTCACTAAAACCACTAAAAATGAATGATCCTAATTCCAAGGAGAAGGAAAAAAAGAGCATCTAGGCAGAGTAAAAATAGAGCAGGATAATCAATACTGACCAGGGATAAGGAGTCGTTGGGGACAGACCAGAGAAAGAACCATCAATACAGCAATGGTTTTCCCTTGGTGAATCTAATAATAATAATAATAATAATAATAATAATAATAATAATACAGATCCCAAGTGTAGACTCTGCAAGGAAGCAGATGAAACAATAGATCACATCCTCAGCTGCTGCAAGAAGATCGGCAGAGAGAACCCAGTTCAATGCAGATATTCTGGGATTTTCTGTCTTGATATTTTGGGTTAGATGGCTGTGTGGAAGGGCCCTTAGATAAAACAGGATTGGATACTTTTAGGTTCTAGGATTGGAGTTCCTTCCACACAGCCCTATATCTCAGAATATCAAGACATAAAATCCCACATTATTTGAGTGTGGACTCATATTACCCAGTTCAAAGCAGATATTGTGAGATTTTCTTCTTTGATATTCTGGGATTTAGGGCTGTGTTCTGAACCGGATTATATTAACCCGGATTAATGTAAGCAAACATATTCACCACCAGTATTTACAAGGACTTTGGATCTTCACTACCATATATTCCAGATTAGCAAATATTGTAATCCGGAGCATCTGTCTTGAACCGGATTATATTAATCCGGATTATCTGCCTTGAACCGGAGTTTTCTTTCTGAGGATGCCTGCCACAGATGGAGGCGGAACGTCAGAAGAGAATGCTTCTGGAACATGGCCATATAGCCCGGAAAACTCACAACAACTCATATTATTGTTGGTTTCCCCTGATTTTCTCGCTGCTATAATTTATTTTCAACTAGCCGTCACCTGTCAGGCATTGCTGTGACCTAGTCTGTGTATATGTGTATATATATGCGTATATGTGTTTGTATATATTTGTGTATAAGTGTATATATGTGTGTTTGTGTATATATGTGGTTTGCACATGCATTGTAATGATTTTTTGTTTGTTTTGGGGCTTTTTAAGTCTCTTCTGCTACGTTTTTCGGTGTTTTATGAGTGATGGTCACTTATTGGTCTGAGAGGTGTCTTGTGTCCAAATTTGGTGCCAATTCGCCCAGTGGTTTTTGAGTTATGTTAATTCCACAAACGAACATTACATTTTTATTTATATAGATCCTCCTAACCGTCTTTTTCTCAGTCTTGACACTCCTTGCCTTCCTTCTGTGTACAGATCTTTTGGGTATTTTTAAATCTCCTGCAAAGTGAACCTTTTCTTTTCTCGCTTGCCTATCTCTCCTTCTTTGCCTGTTTATCACTCGTGCCTTTCTCACCTATAGTGTGGCTCCACCTTGAGTACAGAGGCTTCAAGCCAAAGCCTAGGAAAACAGACAGGGATCTCCTCGGGCTCCATCGGCATTTGTGGCGTGTTTTATTTGCCCACCGGATCTGCCCCAAAGTCCTCCCTTCTTC